AATTATGTACTACTTTACTACGTAGTAGACACTTCTCTACTGTATGCGGGGGCGGCAGTTCGTAGAGAATGCGCGACGTCGTTGCCACTGTCAACGCGATCGTGTCGCGGCCTGGTAGACTCACAGGTCTCAAGATTTAATAAAGGATGGGTCACCTTGAACTCATCCTTTACTACTATACTACATACTTCCTCTGTTCGATATTAGAGCCGACATTTGACTTCTCAGTGAGCCTACATATTCAATTTTGATCCAAATTTGATGAATCGAACCACATTTGAAAGAGTATCAAAAACGGGAGGTAAAGTTATTTGACGGAAAAGCTCGAAAAGCACGTCTTTATGCTCAAAAACTGCTTCGTTTTTTCGCACTTTTATAAAATTACAAATATCAGATCTTTGAGTTTTATATTTATTAGGGACTTGAGAAGTGGTACGTCGAAGTGTAATCGAAGTCACCCAGAACGTACGGATAACGTCCGGATAGTTTACAACACTTGAATTCACTATTGGCAAATGTTGCTAGTAATTTGGAAATAGTGAAAAGGTGATATGTCGGCGGTATATGCGAACAGAGGAAGTAGTAAATCTTGACTCCGCTAAGAGGTTTCTAGTATGGTGAAGTACTATTTAGAATGCTTGCTGTTATTATTAATATTACTACGTAGTATTAACAGTATAAATAGTATTAATAATAACAGTAAGCACCACCTAAGCCAATCAAATCACGCTCTGGTGAATTTCTGCCAGTCCAAACGTTGGACTCGAGTCCCTCCCATATATTGGGCAAAACCATATACATACGGATCTTTGTATAGTATAGTTTGCACAAGCTTAAATTGGATCAAATACATTCGAACGCTACATTACTATTATAGTATTATAGTAGTACTTACTAGTAGTATTAATACTAGGACGTAGAAAAACAGAAAAACTGTTCCAGCGAACTGCCGGAATCTCACTCTTGGTTCTGCAGTGTCGTGGTAACATCAAGTCAATCAAGTGTACGGTTTGCAGGGAGTCAGCACTCCCCCATTTGGTTATTTGTGTTGGCACTGGCGTGGTAAACAACACACAGTACATCTGGGCAAGCAACTACACCTCTGCCCGGCGGCAAAAGGAGCCCACTGATCCAGCCACGAGAAATTACATGTTGATATGCATTAGCTCATTCTATCCATTGTTCGTAGTGGCAATAGACAGCATTAACGAGCATCCGAATTCTACGATAATAGGTCGTCATAGAACAGGTCATCTCTATACAACATGGTTCGTGTAGCACGCCCGTGGGGTGGCGAGCCCATGTCTGCGTGTACGAGGATGGTCCCACCTCTGAGTGCATCTCGCAGCGGTGGGAACGGTCGAAGAATGACTGAAATTGGTCCTGTATTGGCCGAGATAGGGTGATTAGATGACGTGCGATAATTGGTTACGCGAAGATGCCAATTTGAATTAGCTGTCAAAATTGCTCGATAAAATAGCTTGTGCATCTCAAAGTATTTACACGCAGAAGTCCCCCGATTCCTTATAGTTGTTATTGAGAATTCATCCGTAATTTCCCCACTTTCCATAACACGCATAAAACCCCCAAAAAGCAGCCGTGAAAGCACTTTTTCCTTAGGTGGGCATGCGGCATTCATTGTGAGCACTGTACAGTATATATAACCAACAGATCTAGGCTTACACACATATTTGCCCGATCCCATTCGTCACTGACTGGTTACATTATGATAGATTTACCGCCTAAGGTGGTTGATACAGTCAGTACCAACGTGCAATGAGTATAATTCGCACACGGTGCACACGTTAATCTATACCTATACAGTACACAATTCGTCGTTATTATCGCGTACGACCATGTTAAGCATGATGCAGCATCATACTTAACATGAACTTGATCGAATGGATACTTCGTACATCGTATTCATGAG